CGATAAGCAGTTCCATCGTACGCGTTTCTTGGATGTTTTGTTCTGCTGTATACTATGTAGTTGTTCTTTTGAGCGCCAAAAAAATTATTGTGGTATCGCATTTGATCGTCATCTTTTAGGAAAAGCTAGCATCTCGATGCCTGCAAGCATAGGTTAAATAGCGCACAATCGCCTGAAGACAATGCGGTCTCTAAAGTACGGAGATGAAATATCTTACTGTTAGCGAAACCTATAGTTTGCTACGGGAGTGCAGAAAGAATTCCTTAAAATAAGTGTTGCAGTTTGGTAGTGTCCGATGGAAATAGAATTGTGTTCGGAAAATTTTTCAGACAACTACGTTAATCCTATTATGTTGCCATGCCACAGAACGGGTGCCTATAGTTTGGAACCTACTACGATGTCGGGCTGTACAGCCGTAAAAGAACAGAGCGCAGAGCGGCAAAGCAATACTGTGGAAACAGGCGCTGGACAAAATCTAGTCCGTTGAGAATTAACAGGGGATTGAAGATGGATTCTGGAAGGTCAGGAAGTATCAGAAGCGGTGCCTTCATAAATGAACTCGAGTAGGTGTGTCCTCTTACACTCGGCCTGCAGCCAAAATAGGAGTACTGGTGATGGGCACCAAGTGCAGAGGGTTAGGAACAAATTTGTGTGTCTCATGAGCCCACCATTGAAAATAAAAGCCAAACATCTACCGAAAGAATAATCGTTGGGGAGTCAAAACCCCGCGTAGGTATGCCGCAATAGTCGTTTGGGCTGACAAATCGATGGGGTCGTGGAACACACCGTGTATTCTCGTATGAGTCATGGCCAGGTCTGCGTACGCGCAGAGAGCGACTGACTTTGCTTAGATCATAATTTCTCCTTTCACGTTGAATATGGAATGTTGATATATATGGGCATGCCGACTTACAAATACGCGCTCAGTTGTAGGGGCGATGAGATCGAACGGATGCTAATCCCGGCGGGATGTCCTTCATTGGAGTGTTAATTAACTGGGACGTCGGATCTACCACAGAGATAAAACAATACAGTGGCGAAACGCATACGGAAAATCCCGCATCTCACATTCCGCATTTCGACTTCGGAATCCGACAGCCCGCATTCCGAACAAATAGTCTGAAGAAATGCCCGCAAAGCGTATGATTACCGAGCACTAGACTGGAAACATCTCCGCCCCCGGACAACACAGCGCGAATACAACGCCATCGCGATTCGTGCTCGCAAACCACTACCACCAGGATCCACGCGTTGCATGCCAAGCGCAAACTTGCAGCGCACGTAAATCGAGATCCGCTCCCCATCGCGACGGCCGGCGCGCGTACATGCTCCGGGATCACGCGAGCACTGGGGTGCGAAATGCTACTTCGCAACGCAAATTTGCAGCCGCTGTACGTGGAGGTACGTGTCGTCCATCCGCACCTTTGTGTGCATACATCCGCTCTTCTCCAACGATAGTCGTCTCCTATTAGCGTGGCGCCGCGCACAGGCGCAGCACCGCCATGCGGGCATGCAATTCCCGCCACGACAAGAGGAGGAGCAAAGGAAAGAAGGAGGAAGGAGAAGAGAAGACCGCCTGTACCGCCCACAAGCGCATTCCTCTAACCGTCCACGTGTTTGCGCCTCTCCGAGCACCTATTCCTCCCCAAAGCCCCGCTAGAAGCACCAAATTCGAATCCATCTCCAATCTTACAGGAGGTTGGGACGAAGGAGAGGAAAGGAGGAGGCAGGAAATGCGGCCGGAAAGGGGAGGAGTGAGAAAGATGCGAAGCGAAGCGAAGACGAGTGGGGGAGCCGACAATGGGGAACGTACCTCCAGCGCTTGGGTCGTGCGAGTTGTGATAGTGGGGAGCGTAGGGTTATTTGCGGAAAAAGCCCAAAGGATGGTCTCCAGACGAATGGCGAACTTTAGCGCCGCCAATGGCTGCAACCAGGGGAGTCAGACCAGAATCCCACGAATGTGCTCAAGATCTCGAATTTTTAGAGCGGCAGGTGCAAGGCGGAAGAGATGGTGATCCAAAGCGCGAGTACACGTTCAAAGCCACGGAGGAGCCTTAAAGAAGCCACAAAGTTGCAAAGTACAATTTTGGTACAATTTAGAGTTTAGAGGTGCTGGATCCATCAAGTTATCCCGGCTGTGCGGCGCTGGTGTCGTAGCGTTTAGAGCGGCACGGCTCGGTGGCGGCGGCGGAATCGAGCGTCTTTGGGGTCTCGGTCGCAGGCGTGCCAAAGCCGATGGCGGATAACGACGAAAAAGCGATGAGCGATGAGTGAAGACGAAGACGAAGACGAAGACGTGATTGCGGATGTTTGCTACTAACGTCGCACAAATCGGATCAACTTGAAGTCGGCCCGTCCTTCAAGCCTTTACCGCCACTCATCCTTTCAAGCTCCTCGTCTTGACGCCCCCATCGTCTCCCGAAGTAAATCTCCATCACAGGCCCTGAAATAACCCCACTGGCACCTCCCAGCAGCTTGACCCTCATTCACACCTTCCTTTGGCTTTTCTCGGTCTGGCGCTTCGAGTGGGCTCCGCGGCGGCGGCGCTAGTGATGGGAAAGTTCGGTTCGGTTCAGGTTCGGGCTGCTTTTTTCCGAACGCCGAACCTGAACTTCGGTTCAGGTTCAGCAATATGCTGAACCCCGAACCTGAACTTGCGGTTCAGGTTCAAGGCGGTTCGGTTCGGCGTTCAAAGGCGTTCGAACTTGAACGCCGAACTGAACCGAAAATTTCCGGTGAAAAACAACCTCATAAAAAAGGCCGTCGCATGACCTTTCTTAATCTAGAAGGTCAAACCCGCTCGCCTGGAAGGTCTCACGCAATTACCTCATCCCATTTCACAGCGGGGCCTCGAAATGCTATGCCGTACGGTGCTCTGATCGGTGATCAAGACACCTCAGGCCACCCTTATGTGACACCCTTTAGGTATATTATTTATACTGACTTAATATATCTAAAGGGGGGTTTCCCTAGGTGGGTGTCCCACCTGGCATGGGACATCCCACATCTTATAGGATTTTACCGTGGGATGTCCCACACCGTTTCAGGAGGGACATCCCATGTGGACCCAAAAAGTTTTGAGGGATATCCCACCGTCCCATTTTGCAGGCAGGACCCCTGACACCTGCCCCAGAGAAAAAGTGCATTTTTAGGCTCATTTCTCCACCGTTTTCCATTGCTGAGGCTGATTCTTAAAGCCCTTTCTCAGGGCTTTTATTCTAGGTATAAGCCACTTGGAAGGGAGCACATTTATTTCTGTGCAATACCCAGTATTTGCTAGAAATCCAGCTGCCATGCACTGCTACCCAGCTTCATTCAGCCCAACCATTAGCTTACCTCCGCCATCACCCCCTTACATTTCCGTTAAAAAAATCCTTCTCTTCCCCTCGTTATGCACCTATTTCCTTTGTGTTTTTCAAAAACACCACATATAGCACGATTTGTAGCAATACCCATCAATTTGTTTTTGCGGGTGCTGCTGGTTGCAGCTGTTGACCTTTATTGCTCTTACTACTCAGTTGAATTCATTGGTTCAAAAACGCTGTGTGTGTCCTGCCACCGCACCCATCTGGCTCACTTCCTTGGACAGACTCCTAACTTGTGGCTCCTTCTCAAAATACAAACCAAAATTAAATCTTGGGTGGACATGGCCTCTGCAGGAGGGAAAATGTATCCCAAATGCTTATAGGTTCAAAGCACTAAATTCGGGGACAATTATTCTTCAAAAGTGCTCATTAAATGTATTTTGTTGCCTCACACATGTTATTTGCCATAACCGCAAAGCTGAGATCTGGAACATTCTTGTAAGAGTCTCGCTCGGACCAAATCCCCAGAATTCTCCAAGAATATTGGGAACTACCAGAAGTTAGTAAGGTTGGTCAACACTAATCCGGCAAGCAATTAAACAATCAGGAATGCCAGTGATGACTATTTGAAAAAACTGAGTATATGGGTGGTCTAAGGTGTTCAAAGAATAAACAGTGTAAAAGCATGTGTGGGATGTCCCACCCCTTCAAAAAACAACTGTGGGATGTCCCACTGCACAAGTCCAAATGAGTGTGGGACGTCCCACTTGTTCAAAAACAAGGTGGGATGTCCCACGTTCAATACAAATATAGGTGGGATGTCCCACCCCTTCAAAAACAACTGTGGGATGTCCCACTGCACAAGTCCAAATGAGTGTGGGACATCCCACTTGTTCAAAAACAAGGTGGGATGTCCCACGTTCAACACAAATATAGGTGGGATGTCCCACCCCTTCAAAAACAACTGTGGGATGTCCCACTGCACAAGTCCAAATGTGTGGGACGTCCCACTTGTTCAAAAACAAGGTGGGATGTCCCACGTTCAACACAAATATAGGTGGGATGTCCCACCCTCTCAAAAACAACTGTGGGATGTCCCACGGTACAAGTCCAAATGAGTGTGGGACATCCCACTTGTTCAAAAACAAGGTGGGATGTCCCACGTTCAACACAAATATAGGTGGGATGTCCCACCCTCTCAAAAACAACTGTGGGATGTCCCACGGTACAAGTCCAAATGAGTGTGGGACATCCCACTTGTTCAAAAACAAGGTGGGATGTCCCACGTTCAACACAAATATAGGTGGCACATCCCACACCTTCAAAAAAAAAACTGTGGGATGACCCACGATACAAGTCCAAATGAGCGTGGGACGTCCCACCAGTTCAAAAGAACCGTGAGCTGTCCCACTTCCAATGCACGTGGGATGTTCCAAATTCCTGTCATTTACCATCTTGTGGTCAGTCTTCCAGTTGGACATCCCAAAAACAAGTTAGAAATCTATGTCTGTAATGCAATCAATCATTATCTACTATTGAAGGTACAAAACCTCACCCAGCATTTTTTTTATCAAGCTTATTTAGAATTAATCTTATTTGGCCTTGAGAGCTCAGCTTTAATAGGTCGTGGATGTTTCAATCGTGATATAGTCGCATCCCTTCTGCTATGACCACTCTGGTTTAATTGAGTGCAATGGCCATATGGCGCAGTGGTTAACGCCTTTGGATAATGTTCTACAAATCGCTCTTCCTTTATCCAAAGTTCGTAGGTTCGAATCCTACTGTGGCCATTTTTCATATCGAACAACTTTTTCTTTCTTTCCTTTTCGGCAGACACTTAAAGTCTTCTTGCTCATCTTTTCTGACTCGTGACCCGCCCGTAGTCATAATCATACTTTATTGCATAAATCATAGAGTAGGGAGCTACATATGACATAGAAACATAATCATAGAAAGATAACAAAGTAGAGTCCGAGCGTACTACTCAGTCTAGAGACCGAAGTCTTCAAGCTCCTTCGCGTACTGTATGCGGTCCTCCTCTGTGGCGAGAACCGGGGCCTGATTGGCCCGGAGCAGCTTCCAAACACGTCTTACCGGATTGTGGACGAACATGAAGCCGGCGGCTCGGGTGGGTTTGTCCTCCTCCTGCAAACGCGTGGCCAAAAAGACCCCCCCCCCTCCTGTCATTCACAATAATCCGGCATTTGAGGAGGGGCGGCGCTTCCTCTGTCCCGCGGTGTCGCTTGGAGTCCCTGTCTGACTCCAGCCCCTCGTCGTGTGGCACCTTCCTTTTAGGGCCGCGCTGCTCGCCTTGCGCGCGATCGTCGTGACGGGCAGCGCCCACACGAGCAGCTACCGCGTCCACCCGTGAAAGGTCGATGCGGGGGAGGACGGCCGGCGTCGGGCGTGAAGACTCGACGCGGCCGTTGGGGCGTGGGTAAGGAGGCACGTCATCCCACTGGCGTGCGTCATCGTTGCGGGGCCAAGGCTCATGCTGCCGCGGGGACTTGGGGGCGCGCGGGGGTGATCTAGCACGGGGCGGCGAGTTCGCACCCCTGGAGTAACCACGGTACTTGCCCGCGTACTGGCGCGATGACCCGGCGCGGGCAGGGGAACGCGAGCGTGAGTGGCGCGGGCGGTAGTGGTCCGACGCCCCAGCCCCGGGAGGCGATCGCGAGCGGGAGTGGGCGCGCGCGCGATAGTCGTGCGATGCCCCAGCCCAGGGAGGGGAGCCGGAGCGGGAGTGGGTGCGCGGGTAGTGGCGC